GGCTTGCTATTGGGAGATCTCAAAAGACATGTCTCGTGTGTAATTTCGTGCTCGGTTCGGCCGCGTGCTCTTGTTGTCTTGTGTTGTTGCACGCAGCTCATGTTTTCGGCTTGTTTTTTTCATTGGCTGCGTGCTTTCATGTTGTCATGTCTTGGGTGAACACACGGCTTATGAGTATTCTCATTAGCTGCGTGTTCGTGTCTTGTTTTGTTCAAGCACATGGCTTGTGATTGTTTTGCTGGTCATGTGCTTGTGTTTTTGTTTTGTGTGAGCACATGGCTTTTGTCTTTGTTTCCTGTGTGCCATGTGCTCTCATGTCAATTGTCTCGACCCCACCCATCTTATTACTTGATTATTGGTTAATTTGCCCCACCTGTGTTTCCCTTATTATCCTCCTCATTTGCTCCCTATTTATTCTCCTTGTGTTTGCGGTCCTGTGCTAGTTCGTCGTCAAATGTTCTCGTGTCAACCCTGGTTGTGTCCTGCCCTGCCTTGTCCTGGCCGGTCCTGTCCAGCCTTGCAAATACCAGCCTGTTTTTCCCCCACGGGGTAGTTTTTGTTGTTGTTTTGTTTTTATTTTATTATTAATAAAGAGCCCATTTTCTGCATCATTGAGTCCTCGCATTGCTACATCCCCACACCTAACAGAAACAAAGACAAGAGACACCAACTGTCATGCAGACAAATGGTTTGGAATTGTCCAACAATCAATCATGGGTAAAAAAAAAAAAAAAGAGACCAGGAACATCTATTCAAACAGTGTACCAATCTCTGCAGGCCAGAGCATGTAATACAGCCAGGGGCGCGGGAAGATGTTTTCGGTTGGGGGTGCTGTGTGTGTCCGTGTTGGGTTGGGGGGGCTGGTGTTGTTTGGATGCCAATTTTTGGAAAGTTTTTGCTGGGATGGGCATTTAAAAAAATCTGAAATTCGCTTTTGCGCCATTATCTCCTTGTATTAAAGTTAATCTCGTTCGCATTCTGTACAGTTCATGTCTGATACCACGGGCTAGCGTCACGTGTTCATGAGGATTAGGCTAATCATCCCATATAGAAAACATCACAAGTAAAATTAATCATGTTTATAAAGATAAACATGGGTTTATTATAGCCCACTTACAATTTACATTTCCGAGATCATTACAAATAAATTATTAAATGCTAAAACTGAATAAATGTAAATGAACAAACTTGGCATTGCATTTGCAACCATGTGAAAACAGGGGGTGCTGCAGCCCACTCAGCACTCCTACTTCCCGCGTCCCTGAATACAGCACAACATTTCCCAAGGTTAATTGTTCAAGCCTGTTTCACCAGTGGATATTGCTTAATGCCATGAGACATGGAGAAGGAAAGAGATTGTTCCTGGCTAGAAAGTCAAAATTTTACTCCAGTCCACATACAGTGCAAGTTCCTCAGAAAAAAAAGATAGAAAAAGACACACGCCATTTGTGATTCTCCAACACCTCTAAAAAAAAAAGGAACAAGGGACAGCACATCCCTGTAATATTTCTGCAGAAATACTTTCTAGAGAAAGAAGTAATATTAATATTGCATACAATAAACAATTAACCCAAAAAGCACAATGTGCAGTAAGATAAGCAGATAGAAAATGTATTCAAGTTTATGGCATTGCATGTTGACATGCTGTAGACAAATAAAACAAAGGAGATGCTTGTAGCCATTCTGCAGGCCCTAGATGAAAAAACAGAGAACCTGCTCCATCACAGGACATTCCAAACACTGAAGCCCCATTAATGGTTATTTAGAGAGACATTACAGTTGTCTTCCATCATGGTTTTTACTGTGTTCTTATTGTTTCTGGTGCATTGTTATAATTATGTATTTCCTGATCTAGGCGAGTGGACGTGGCAATAAGAAGAGATAACTTGAGGGGAAGCGCTCATTTTAGCTAATTTATGAAAATGCTTGTGCAAAATATGGTTTGATTTATCCGTCCTCTTGTTAATGTTATTAATAATTTTTTTTCTACTTAACTCTTGTTCCTAATTTTCATGTATAAATAATATTATGAGACAAGTTTTAAAAAAAAACCCCAAAAAAACATGTTATGTTCCAGTTTGTGAGAGCGGGAAAAATGTGTTTTCAAGATGGCCGTCACTAGTACTGTAGAGAGGTGTAGACAGAACAAGAGCTTGTGAACGTGATTATTGTGGTGCTGTGTAGCATGTAAAACTCCAGCCTCAATGTAGTGAAGGGGAGTTAGTACTGTTTTAAGTACTCAGCAGTTCTAGTTTCATTTTTTTTATTAATAATCTGTTTTAATCCATTAAACATATTTAAACATTTTGCATATCCACTCAAAATAAACATCCTTTTTGGACGCCAACTTCGCTCCCATGATTCTGAACCTCCTTGTGACTGCTCGGGTCCTTATCACAGAGAGGTATGCTCATTATGACATAATTTAAATAACTGTTTTGGAGTCTTTACGTCGACAAAAAATAACTGCCTGAATTTCTAACCATTATTTTATGATACAGGTCAGCTTTGAAAAATATGATGGGGTCATTACCTTATACTACCTGTAAATGTGAACAATGTGCACAGTGGAAGCTCGTGGTGAGTAACAAGTCAAACAAGTCATTTTTATATTCCATAGTGTATACTGAGTAACCCCGATACTAATATTTCAGTTTTAAAGGGGTCATATGATGCTTTTTTAAAGATCATTTCTATGCACAATCAGCTTGTAACACTCCAAAGAGAAAGGAAAACTTGAAATCGCATCATATGACCCCTTTAAAATAACTTTGTATTAATAATAATAATGTTGCTTTTTTTTGTTACTCTATTATCTACATGCTATTTCTGAAACCATCTACGTTGTTGACCCTCAACATCAGTGTCGTAGTGTCTGGGTATGCAGGTGCATATGGGCCCGGGCAGTGTGGGGGCCCGCCCTCTCACGTAACACCGCCGAGCTGGGGGGAACTTTGAACTGAAACGAGGGAACGAATAGAGCCCTGCATCGGCCCGGCCCTTGTCCAACAGCTTATGCGACTTCTCGGCCCGAGTCCGACTGGATACCGTGTCTTTTTTCTCTCTCTTCCCCATTACACAGCTATTAAAATAGTTCAGTTTTCAGTGAGTGAAATGGTAGTTTCTAATAGTAGTTAATAATAATTTGTAGTTGGTCACCAGGTTTGCACACATCTCAGGAGGGATTTTGATCCACTCCTCTTTACAGACCCTCTCTAAATCCTTAAGGTCGTTTGGCAACTCGAAGTTTCAGCTCCCTCCACATATGCCATCTTCAGTGTTCTGGCTGAGGAAAGAAGGTTCTCGTCCAAGATTTTACAGTACATGGCCCCGTCCATTTGCCAGAAAAACAACCCCAAAGCATAATGTTTCCACCTCCGAGCTCTTTGGTCTTGCCCATGATGGTGGGAGAGGTTGGAATGGAAGATACAGATTGTGTGGACAGGTGTCTTATACACCTAACGAGCTGACATTAGGAGTAACTTCTTAAACTTAACTGAAAGAAAAAGTAAAGCAACAGGAGAGAATTTCGAGAGATGGTCTTATGGGAGCCACTGAACCTGCTTGACTGTGGAGGATTCATCAATTCCTTCCTCATTCGCAAACAAAGAGCACGAGTAAGGTATTATATGAATATATGCTTAATTTCTCTCTATAATGTGAGCAAATTGAAGCAAATCTCTTCTCTTACACTGGTAAGTATTGGAGGCCAAGCACCAAACTTGCATTGGCTTCTATTATATTTATTAGTTTTCTTATTTTCTTCCCATTTACAGTACCACTAATGGAAAAAACATATAGTAAAATGTTATGAATCTTGGCAAAATTATAAGGGAGGCACTAAAAGATTGTCTGATCAAATTTGTTGTCGGTCTCTCAAACCCTCTAGCTTCACCAACAGTTAAAATTTCACTTCAGTTTTAGGAATTTGTGTAGGCTAATGTGTATTCTCAGAAACCGCTTTTTTTGTTGACAACACACCTGTTCAAACTCGTCCTTGAGCTTTCATCACATCAACCTAAACTTGGGTGAGATGTTTTCCAGATAAAACCAGTCAAAAAGATATTTTGTGATATTGTCAACCGTTTCTATGTGACACAATGAATGAATGAATGATGTTGTGGGCTTCCAAGGAAGTGAGGTCAAATTTTCTACTGTGATTTCAACAAACATACAAAAAAACTACACCGGTGGAATTCGCCTTCATTCAGTTTTGTTAAAAGAAGTGATAGAGATTCAAAGGAAAACATAAAATAAATGCTATTTCAGTTTCATAGGGGTTTGCAATTTTACTAACAGTCTGTTAGCCAGGCATTTCATTTGCATTGCATTGGGTCTATTTTCTGATCCATATAAAAAGTTTTTCCTCATTTAATGGAGCCAATTGCTGATTTCTTTTTAAAATGTTGTTGATTTTTTCATTTACACTTCCTTACCAAATTCAAACTGCTGCCTGCTCACATATAATGAGAAATTGTACATTTTAAAATATCAAACTTGCAAAACTAATGTTAAAAATGGCTTTAACAATGCTTGTGGTAGTAGGACATGACAAAGACCATTTTGTTGACTTTACTGAAATATCTGTCCACATGTTGTCCCAACTTTCTAAATAAAGTCTTCTGGGCGAGCAATGTACTGTGATGCATCATTTATCTCACACGTAGACACACACACACCCAGAACACCTGGACATGGATGATGTGCAATGCCAATATAAAAAAGCCAACTTCCTCATCAGCTGGTTTGAAGAGCTGTCTGTTTGTGAGCGACTGACTTTTCTGATCTTCTCTTCTCCCTGTTGCTCCTGAACTCCTGACAACAATATTCTCAGGTAAGTTTGAGGTTAAAGTAAAATGTCAATATAAGAGTTTTATTGTCAAAATTTATGTACATATTGCTTTCCATTTATATTTCGAGTGATAGATTTAGTATGTGTGAAATGCTGTTGTGTTTCTACTAGATCTACAAGACCATCTGAGGGATTTGACTGAATCAAGATGCTGCTGATCACTGAAGCTCTTCTTCTCATTTTAGCTGCTCTAGGACAGGTAAGCTTGTGTTCTAGTATGAATATTACAGACATGAATACTGATGATTGATCATTATGATTCCTGTTGCTGTAGGATCACAGAACTGCTGTTGAAGGACAGATATTTCCACTGGATATGACACTGAATTCAGTTGATGATCAATATAAGGGCTGTACTCAGAAAATGGCAGACCTGGTAAAAACAAAATATCTAGAGAAGGAAAAATCTGCCTCAGCTGAATACAATAATACTTGGCAAGAAGGTGAACAGAAAGCTAAGAAACCCGAGGATAACCTGCAACAGATCCATTCAGTTGCCATTCATGTTTATACTAACAAAGACTCTAAAGTATATAGTAATTTCACTAGAGCGACTCGCACTGACAAACAGAAATACAAAGAGGGTGCATTCAAATGGTATTCACTTCACTTTCTCTTAACAGAAGCGATACAGATTCTGAAGAAAACTCAAAATAGATGCTATGTAACTTATCGTGGTACAAATCTTAAATTTGATGTTCAGAGCAAAGAGATTCGTTTGAGCTCATTTTCGTCCTCCTCACTTGATCGTAAAGTAATACAGGGTTTTGGGTCTAAATCTTGTTTTGAAATCTACACTTGTGAAGGTGCTAATCTGACAAGATACTCTAAGTATCCTGAGGAGAAAGAGGTGTTGATTCCTCCATATGAGACGTTTAATGTCACTGCTCTCAAAAACAGGACAGATCAGCCTGATCTCTGGTGTGAGACTGTGTTTGTGTTGAACAGCACTGGAACAAGAAGTGACCTGAACTGTGCTTTGTTTAACAGTGGGAACCATGCTGCTTTCTTTAATGTTTTACTAATTTTGTTAATATTTTTTTGCAAAGTATTTATATGCTAACTGATTAACTTGTAAATCTGACATGTTTCTTATTGTTACTGAATAAGCTTTTCTAAACCTTTTGGTTTTCTCAATTTGTGTAAATGTACTTTGCTTTTCTTTGATGCAAAACTTTTATACATCTGGTACAATTATGTGGGTTTTGTGAAATTTTCTTATAGGTGAGGGTACACTCTCAGGTGAAAAAACATATCACATGTTTATGTGACAGTTTAAAACTTAATCTGACCGTAAAAAAAAAACACAACATATACAAAAACGTTTAAATAAAAGCCATTTATTCACAAAAATTCTAAACATTCAGATATTAATATATTACAGAATAAACACGCAGTTAAACTGGAAGCTTGGTGATGCATTGCAGCTGTCTCTATAAGTTCAGAGATTCATTGAAATTTATACAAAATGGGTTCACACATACAGTATATTTCATGAGACACTAGTATTTTAAAGTGAACATATTCCTAGTGGGCAAACTGAGCAAAGAGACACCTTATCTGTGGGAAGCATTTGGAAAGTTTTAAGGTAAGAAAGCTGCTTTTTTCGTTTACTGAATTAGCTAAAATTGAAAACACAATCTCTTAATCTCTCTAAAGTGAAGATCACGGTAATGATTTAAGTCAGGGGTGCCCAAACTCAGTCCTGGAGGGCCGGTGTCCTGCAGAGTTTAGCTCCAACCCCAATTAAACACACCTGAACCAGCTAATCAAGCTCTTACTAGTCATACTAGAAACTTCCCGGCAGGTGTGTTGAGGCAAGTTGGAGCTAAACTCTGCAGGACACTGGCCCTCCAGGACCGAGTTTGGGCACCCCTGATTTAAGTGTTACCAATCATAGCAAAATTAATTACTAACCAGAACCTTACAAAAACCTCAAAAGTTTACAATGACTTCAGTAATTACTAGAAAATTATCATGTTATTCACTTTAGAATACTGATCCAAAAAAATTAGTAATTCCTTCTGAAGAATTTGGTAATACTTGTGTCATTACTAGTGGGTTGCCATGACCTTCACTTTAGAATTGATTATACATTATGCATTATTCATATTAATTATAAACCTGTATACAGTAGTTCTTGGGGAGGTATGAAAAATAGTAGTTACTGATTAGCTAATAGTGAACTACCACATTTGACTAAGCACTGTTACTTACTAATTCATTAATCAGAGTTTCTTGATACTAGCAGTTACTAAAGTGCTAATATCGTGTTACTTATGTGTTCTTGTATAGTTATTCATTAATGATGGAACAGTATTTTAAAGTGTTACCACTGTTTGCAACCCTGATTTTTGTGATTTTATTTTCTAGCAAATAATTTGTCAAAACGTACTCCACGTTTCATGTACATAACTTTCATAGAGTCAGAAGTGCTCAAAATACAATTGATATGGAGTAAAACACTTAAAAACAAAAAATAAAAAAAAGTTAAAGCTTTTTTTTTTTTTAGCCTTACTTAGTTTGTCCAGTGTGAAACCACGCAGACCTTCACAAGTATTGCATTATGATGAGCTCAACAGTTTAGTTGAGCTGAATGCAACAAGATCACACTTCAAAAACACACACACAAACACACGCACATTATTAGCTATATAAAAAGCAACTTCAAACTCCTCATCTCTGAAATGTCATTGTCGCCTGGCTGTGAATGACTGACGTCTGATTTTCTCTCGCCATTGCTTCTGAAAGCAACACAGAATTTGCTGAAAAGACTACATTCTCAGGTAATTCTCAGGTAATTTGGGGGTAAAGTTATTGGGCAAATCTATGCATATATTCCTGTTGCAGTGACAGGTTTTGTATTTTGTGAACTCTGTTGTCTTTCAGCATCTGCTCTTCACTAGATCTACAAGAACATCTGAGGGATCTGATTGAATCAAGATGCTGCTGATCACTGAAGCTCTTCTTCTCATTTTAGCTGCTCTAGGACAGGTAAGCTTGTGTTCTAGTGTATGAATATTACAGACATGAATACTGATGATTGATTATTATAATTCTTGTTGCTGCAGGATCACAGAGCTGCTGCTGTTAAAGGACAGACATTTCCACTGGATATGACACTGAATTCAGTTGATGACCAATATGACGGATGCACCAGGAAAATAACACAACTGGTGGAAACAAGATATCTGAAGAAGGAACTCAATAACTCTAGAAATAATTTTAAAATAGCTTGGCAAGAGGGTGAAAAAAAAACATTAAGGAGCCAGAAAATAACTTGACGAGGAAACATTCAGTTGCCATTTATGTGTATACTGGTGATAAAGTATTTTGTGATTTCAACAATGAAACTCGTTACGGTAAACAAAACTACACAACCGAGACATACAAATGGTATTCACTTCACTTTCTGTTAACAGAAGCGATACAGATTCTGAAGAAAACACAAAATACATGCTATGATACTTATCGTGGTACAAAATTTAGATATCATTTTCTTAACACAAAGGTTCGTTTTGGCTCATTTGCATCTTCCACTTTTAATCGGAACAAAACAACGTTTTTTGGAACTGTATCTTGTTTTGAAATCTACACTTGTGAAGGTGCTGATGTGTCAAAATATTCAAAACTTTCTCATGAGAGAGAAGTGCTGATTCCTCCATATGAGACGTTTAAAGTCACTGCTGTTAGGACAAAAGGAGATGAGAAAGATCTCTGGTGTGACACTGTGTACACATTGAAAAACACTGGAAAAACAAGTGACCTGAACTGTGCTCTATTCAGGAGACCAACCAAGACCATAGATAAGTACCATGCTTTGCGCTGAGCCTTACAAAGTGCTTTGAATTTACATCAGTTCCATGTTCCAGTTCCAGTTATTTCTTCTCAATGTAGTTCAGTGTTTCTTTGTCAGAATATATTTATAATGTATTTTCAGCATAATGAAATAAAGTTATTTTTAAGTGATTTAATTGGCCTCAGAGTGGTTTTTTTAATATTTCTTCATTTACATACTTTTTGAATCACATTTACTGAACAATTTCATGTAGTCAATACTCTTTTAAGGCAGTGCAGCATAACACCTATTGCCAATATCAAATATTTAAAATAATTTACAATATTTAAAGTTCAAAATATTGTTATTCTATTTACTTAAATGTAAAAAAATACGAAAACTTTAATTGTCTTAAAACGTGTTTTTTTTTAACTGAATAACTTTAGTAGCTTTAACAAGTATCAATATATATTTAATTTATAGAGTGAAGACTATGCTGAGTTATTTTACATTTGATAATTCAATTTCTGTATACTACCTGAATGCTACCAGTGGCGTACGGGACACCCCCGCGGTGCATGGAGGTTCCGCCCCTTTGGTGGACAGAACACATTTTTGCTTTGAAAAACTGGAATTTGGAAAAAAAATGTAAGGCCTTGGTGCTGCATTACCAGATGAGCTTGATGCATCAGTATTAATTCAGTTCTATATTGATCTCACAGTGTCTGAAATATATTTTGTAAATGTGAAAATTTACTTTTTGGTACCACAAACCTACAACATTTGATTCTGAACTAAGAGCTTATTTTGGGCTCAGTTGCACCTCCCTTTTTTAATCATACAAATGGATGCTAGTTTTAAAGGATAATAGTTAGTCAACACATCACTGCCAGTTGAATCACCTCCTTGACAAGATTTCTTTCTTTTTTTTAATCCTTAATTTAGATGAGTCAATATATATTAAACGGCCTTTCAGATATAGACTAAGTTGTAGTTGTGTAAAGGTTTTTTAGGGTCTCTAAAAACATGTTGATATGTGTCTAATTGTTTTGTCTGTGAACTTGTATGAAATCATGAGTTGATTAATTCATAAATGCACAATTTTCTTGGTTTTTTTTCTTCTTTGAAAGTTAGGTTTAGGGGGTGGATTAGGGATGTCCTGGACATCCTGCTTACATATCGCTATGTCTGTATGTCTTCAACAATTTCCATCATGTACCATTATTACACATTTTGAAGAGATCAGGTTGAGATTATCTTGCATTCATGTTAGACAGACAGGAACTCAAGAGTTTGTCCAGTGTGAAACCACACAGACATCAGATCTTCACAAGTGATTATGATCTAAACCATTTAGATGAGCTACATACATCACAGTCACGCTATTATTTCTTAAACCACATACACATACACATACACGGGAGGACAAGGAATCATTCAATCGCCATTTATATGTATACTAACAGTAATTCAAATGTATATGGCAAATTCAATGAAGATGTTTGTAGTGGTAAACAAAATTACACCAACAAGAAATTCAAATGGTATTCACTTCACTTTTTGTTAACAGATGCTATAAAGAATCTAAATAAAAACCAAACAGCATGCTATAATACAACGTATGGAGGTACAAATGTTTTACAATTATTATTATTTTTATTTTTTTACAGAGCACCCGCTGATGCATCCACCTCCTGTGAGGCCTGGAGTTTGGCACTGAAAAATCAAAATTTGGGGTCAGTCTCTCGAATTCTTTATTTTCACCAATTCTTCAAATTTCACTTTGTCTTTAAATTGTAACTTTGTGTGGATTTGACATCATGCTGGGAATTACACCTATGCCTACAAGAATATATCTATTCTTTCATTTCCACCTGTATGTGATTTTTTATTCATTATTCAAATGAGTTTTTTCCCAGTCCACATTTTTATATGAAATCTAAAACATGCTTTACTGGATAAATCCTAGTATTTTACAGATCTCGTCCTTAACTTCGTTATTAATGTAAAATTTTATTTAGCCTTTTTCAGGAAATGACCTCTTTCAAAGACTTTAGTGTTTTGACATAATTGCCATCTACTGGTCAAAATGTGTAAATCATTTACTGAAACGCATTAAAGTTTTATAGTATGGTAGTCATCATTTATCTCTCACTCAAAATACCATTCTGCTACTTCGGATGACACATAACCTTTCTCACTTTTACTCTGACGAAGCATCAGACCCGTTCTCACAAAAACCCCTTTGTAAGTGTCATTGTCACATTTCACTGAAAATACTGAGAGGTTTGGTTATCGCGCTACCAAAACCGCCTGCAGGTGTTGTGTCTTTTCTTCTTAGCATGTAACATTGAAGACTAAGAACTTGAATAAACAAAACTAACTGTTTACTTAAGTCAGGGGTGTCCAAACCTCTTCCTGGAGGGCCGCTGTTCTGCAGAGTTCAGCTCCTACCCAAATTAAACACAGCTGAACCAGCTAATCAAGGTCTTTTAGGCATACTAGAAACAGGTGTGCTGAGGCAAGTTGGAGCTAAATGCTGCAGGACTGTGGCTCTCCAGGACCAAGTTTGGACACCCCAGAGTGCCTGACTTAAAGGTCCCCTGAAATGCTTAGAAACACGCAGCGTTACTCTATGTGTTGACGTCATTTTAACTGAAACAGGAAGACAGGGCGGGACATATCAAGCAGCC